AGGATGGGACTATGCGGATGTGCATTGATTAACGCCAGTTGAACAAGGTTACCATCAAGAACAAGTACCCGTTGCGGCGCATTGATGATTTGTTCGACCAGTTGTAGGGTGCTAGGGTGTTCTCTAAGATCGACTTGAGATCAAGGTATCATCAGCTGAAGATTCGGGACTCAGATGTCCCGAAGACTGCTTTCCGTACTAGATATGGCCATTATGAGTTTCTAGTAATGTCCTTCGGCTTGACTAATACCCCAACGGCGTTTATGGATTTGATGAACAGGGTGTTCAGGCCTTATATTGATTCCTTTTTTATTGTCTTCATTCATGACATCTTGATCTACTCACGTAGCCTGGGGGAGCACGAGCAACATTTGAGAGTAGTGCTTCAAACATTGCGAGAGCAGAAGCTATATGATAAGTTCTCCAAATGTGAGTTTTGGCTTGAGTCAGTAGCATTCTTAGGGCATGTCGTATCAGGAGAGGATATTAAGGTGGATCCCAAGAGGATTGAGGCAGTTCACAGTTGGCCACGTCCTACTTCAGTGACTGAGATCAGGAGTTTCCTGGGGTTAGCAGGTTATTACCGCCGATTTGTGCAGGGTTTTTCATCCATTGCATCACCTTTAACTAGATTGACCCAGAAGGGTGCTCCTTTCCGTTGGTCCGATGATTGTGAGACGAGCTTTCAAAAGCTCAAGACAGCTTTGACTACAGCACCGGTTTCTAGTATTGCCTTCCGGATTGGGGATGTATACGGTATATTAATGTTATACCGTTGGCTTGGGTTGTGTGTTGATGTAGAAGGGGCGAGATATTGAATATGCTTCGCGTCAGCTGAAGATTCATGAGAAGAATTACCGCGTGCATGATCTAGAGTTAGCAGCGATTGTTCATGCTCTTAAGATATGGAGGTATTACCTGTATGGGGTGTCATGTGAGGTTTATACTAATCATCGCAGCTTACAGCATTTGTTCAAGCAGAGGGATCTCAATTTGAGGCAGCGTAGGTGGCTTGAGTTACTGAAGGATTATGACATCACCATTCTTTATCATCCGGGCAAGGCAAATATGGTCGCGGATGCCATAAGCAGGAAAGCTGAGAGTATGGGTAGCTTGGCATTCATTTCAGCGAAGGAGAGGCCACTAGATTTGGACATTCAGTCCTTGGCTAACAGACTTGTGAGGTTGGATATTTCTGAGCCCAGCCGAGTTCTTGCATGTGTTGTTGCCCAGTCTTCATTATTCGGGCAGATCAAGGCTCGGCAGTTTGATGATCCGCACTTGGCAGTTCTCAGAGAGACGGTACTACAGGGTGGTGCCAAGGAGGTTTCTATCGGCGACGATGGTGCTATACAACTCCAGGGTCGCCTATGTGTTCCTAATGTTGATGGCCTGAGGGAGAAGATTCTTGAGGAGGCACACAGTTCGCGGTATTCTATTCATCCAGGTGCTACAAAGATGTATCGTGACCTGAGACAGCACTATTGGTGGCGGCGAATGAAGAAAGACATAGTGGAGTATGTATCTAGGTGCTTAAATTGCAAGCAGGTCAAGTATGAGCACCAGAGGACAGGGGGCCTATTTCAGCAGATGACTATACCTGAGTGGAAATGGGAGCGCTTTACTATGGACTTCGTAGTTGGGTTACCGCGGACTTTGCGGAAGTTTGATGCGGTTTGGGTCATTGACGATAGGTTGACCAAGTCGGCACACTTCATTCGAGTTGTGACTACCTATACTTCAGAGAGGTTGGCCCAGATTTATATTCGGGAGATAGTTCGGTTGCACGATGTGCCTGTTTCCATCATATCAGATAGGTGCCCTCAGTTCACCTCACATTTTTGGAGAGTTATTCAGAGTTAGTTGGGGAACCGTATAGAGCTCAGCACAACATTTCATCCTCAGATCGACGGACAGTCGGAGCGGACAGTTCAGATATTAGAGGAGAGCATGTGTGATTGACTTTGAAGGGCAGTGCGATCAGTTCTTGCCTTTGGCCGAGTTTGCATACAACAACAGTTATCAGTCCAGCATCGAGATAGCTTCATTTGAGGCTTTATATGGTCGACGATGTCGTTCCCCTATCGGGTGGTTTGAGCCTGGCGAGGCTAAGTTATATGGTACTGATTTGGTGAAGGATGCCTTGGAAAAGGTAAAGATAATTCAGGAGAGACTTCGCATAACACAGTCCAGACAGAAGAGTTACGCGAATCAGAAGGCGCGTGATGTATCATTCATGGTCGGCGACAAGGTTCTCTCGAAAGTCTCGTCGATGAAGGGTATTATGAGATTCGGGAAGAAGGGCAAGTTGAGCCCAAGGTTTATAGGCCCATTGAAGTGTTGAGGCGAGTTGGGGAGGCTGCTTATGAGCTTGCTTTACCTCCCAGCCTATCAGGGGTTCATCAAGTTTTTCACGTGTCTATGCTTCGAAGGTATCACGCCGACTTGTCTCATATGTTAGACTTCAGTACTATTCAGCTAGATGAGAGTTTGTGTTATGAAGAGGAGCCAGTTGCCATTGTTGATAGACAGGATCACCAGTTGAGATCAAGAGGATTTATGCGGTAAAGGTCCAGTGGAGGGGACAACAAGTTGAGGAGGCGACCTGGGAGTCCGAGGAGGACATGTGGAGCAGATATCCACACTTATTTAGCACTTCAGGTATGAATCTAAACTCGTTCGAGGACGAATATTTTTTTAAGAGGTGGAGAATGTAACGACCCGACTGGTTATTTTGCTTTCTAGAACCTCGTTTCCCTAAATAAGACTACCCGCACTTGCTTTTACTGATATATGACTTGCGGGGATGGTTGATTCGGGATTTGGAAGAGTTTGGATCGAAATCGGAACACTTGGTTCCTTAAGGTTGGCTTAAAAGGCCAAGTTTGACTTCGGTCAATATTTTGAGTAAACGAGCTCAGAATCAGGATTTGACGGTTCCAATAGGTCCGAATGATGATTTCAGACTTGGGCGTATGCCCGGATCGGGTTTTTGATGATCCGGGAACGTTTTGGCGCCTAATAGTGAAAGTTCATTCCTTTAGGATTTTGAAGTCCTTTAAATTTGGTTTTGCTGCGGGTTTTTGTGATATCGAGGTCTGAACAGAATTTTGAGACCGGGAATAGTTCAGTAATGTCATTTAAGAATTGCACGCAAAATTTGATGTCAATCTGAGTAGTATAAGTGTGTTTCGTCACATTAGAAGTAAATTGAAGAACTTGAAGTTCATAAGTTTGAATCAATTGGTTTTAGGGTGTGATTCCTGATTTTAATGTTGTTTCCGGTGTTCCGAGAGTTCGAGCGAGTCCTTTTTATCATTACAAACTTGTGGGTGTGTTCGGGCAGGGCCCCGAGCGTCAATCGGACGAGGCTTGGGCCAAGTTGGAAATTTCGGGCAAGAGCTGAATGCCAGCTTCAATCATAACCGCACCTACGGTTGGTCAGCCGCAGATGCGAGCTCGCAGGTGCAGGCCATGAAACGCAGATGCGGCCAAGGGTGGCCAGCCCAAAAACCACAGAAAGATGAAGGAAGAAGAAAGGGGAAGAAGAAGGAGATGGAGCAGTCGTTTGAGAGAGCAGAGATAAGACAATGAAAGATTATTTCATTACTCAAAAGTATGTAAAAAATACAGTACAATATTGCCTTTATATACTTCCATTGAGTGTGTATTTTGGCTTCTTAACTAACTCCTAATAATAAGCTTAACTAACTCTCTAATAGTAATTAACGTCTCTCTAACAGCTTTAATGTACAATGACAGTTATACCCTTTACATTATTTAATAGAGTTTATCTAGAACTTTCCATTATTTGACCCCATAGCAAATTGGGAATATCGAGGTAAATATAGTTATAAACTTGCTGTATTTCTCTTGGGAGGTAGAGGCCTGATGCTTGTTAACCGAGAAGGTGCAAGAGTCAAATTTCGTGATGCTGACTCTTTTAAAGGAAGGAGAAAAAATGAAAAATCAAGGGATTGACTCTGTAAAGAACTTATCAACATGGTGCCTTAGCATGAATTGTAGTGGTTGAAATAGAAGTAGCAAGGAAGGATAAGAAGGGCAATTCCTCTACTAGTGGCGTTTCTATATAGTGCATGTGGTGGTATATTGATGTCTTTTTTGTTTTAAAATTGGAATGAGCTATTTGGCTCTTAAATGTCAATAACAGAATAGTCAATTGTTTTAATGTGATACTTTATGTGGTACTGTTAACTGTCTATTCCGTTTTCTACTAGTGAATTGCTCGACTTTATATGTCTGCTCATCTCTTGCCAACACATGTACATAAATATGAGTATATTGCTCATGTAAGATGTGGGGGAACCATCATTCGATGCCTCAGTCCTTAGAAATGAGAGTTATGACTTATGAAGAATTAATGAAGCTTATCAACAAAATCTCTGCATCCTTGAGGAGGATGCATTAGATGTAGTATACCCGAATGAATTTTTGCATTGTTGCCCTAGTTGTATCTCATTGAATTCGTCTTGTGTAATAAACTATAAGCATTTCTTTAATGATAAGGATTGAGCTGTCTCCCCCAAGTAGAGTTGATAAACTTAGGTGCAGTATTTTGCATTTGTTACTGTTGATATTTGATTTACTAGAATAATAAGTAGTTTAGTCGTAGAAGGAGTCTTCTTTGACTATTAACATGGAGATTAGGACTGAGGGACTCGAATTGAGGAAACTTGAAAGCATATTCTCCATCACTACACTAGCAATTTAAAAAATCTAATTTTTTGTTCAACTGTAAAACCTTCAACGAGCAAGACCTGTTGACTAATGCACAAGGTAACTAACGTATTTTAATTTCACACAAACTGTCTCAGTGTATCACATTGCCTTCGTTGTTGCATACATTTGTATAAATAAGTGTATATATATATGTATATCAGTCTCGTGTGTAATATATTGCAACATATTAAACAAATATTTAAGGTGAACAAACTTCATCTCTGTTTGGTATTAACTTAAAGATATGGTAATTCTGTGCATCAATATTAACTCTCCTTTTTCATTATTTTAGGGCTTGAAGCAACATTGATAATACAAAAGAAAGAAAATAATAAGTGGTATACCATCAAAAAGACGCCGCCTACGGTCGAAAGAAAAGAGAAAATTGCATCTTATTACATCACTAGGATCGAGCAAAGCACCAAGTACCTAAGTCCTCATACAACATGAAATTACAATGTGATTTCAAAGTAGAATTATTCATCTATTTTACATTTATTTCGAGCCCAGAGAAGAATGTGCAAAGAGGGGCTATCATGCAGCTTCAGCAAAACCCAGTTGAAGATTACCATAGTCAAATACAGTATGATACACCCCCATGAATACATTACCAAGAATCCTGCATGTGTAGTATGAATCTTTTGATATGAAACAGATGGAGAAGCTTATAAGACTATTTGAATAAATTAAGCGAAATGGTTGTAAGAATAATAAAAACGTACCAAAGAGGACCACGAGGTGGTGGCACATCCAAAGCAACAAACCCACTGAGGCAAATGGTAGCAATCCCCTCCCCAGTTTTCAAAATATACTGGAAACAGAAACAAATTAAAGCCACAGTTGAAACAAGGCTGAGTATGCAACATAACAATGTAACATATATAAAATTAGGAAGAGAGGCATAACCTGTTCTGGAGTCAGGACAAAATCTTTATCACCAATATTTAATGTAACATTTGGCATGGATGATATGCTATTGCAGTCGATTACGGATTGTCCCATAGGACTTGGTAATTTCTCACAGAGCTGTAAAACACCAAACATTAGTCCCCAAGACAATGCTCTTAATTACCTAAAGAGAAAATTCACTCACCTGATTCACATATTCTAGCACACTCTCCTTTGTTGTCTTCTGTTTGAGCTGGTTCTGCATCCAAATTACAGCCATCTCACAGGCAGTGCACAATGGGGCTTCTTCTATGGAACTTCCTTCATTTTCCTTCTCAACCACACTTCTTATATTCGAGCTGCAAAATTGGTTGTAGATTGTCACATTGTTACACAATTCAACATGTATTGTAGCAGACGTAGATCCTTGGCTCAAATCTCATTACCATCCTTCATCATAATGAATTTCCAAGTAAGAGAGCATGTCGAAGATATAATTAAATAAGATTGTGACATCTTTGAAAGCTTAAGTTTTTAAACGACATGGTTACACAATTCAACATAAACAACATAGCTCTAGAGCCTTGACATATGTTCCAAAGACAGATGGTCCAGTTCAACTTTCTTGGAAAAGAATAGGAGGAAAGCATCCATACCTCAAACGCTGAGCTCCATTAAGATAACATAAACCTGCTTCTAAACAAATTTGATCTGGTGTGACCTGCAGACAATTACAAGTAGCATTATATCTACAATGTCACATGCAGTAGTGGCCAGCTCAAATAAACAAAAGAAGAGATATAGAACAAACCCCTGATACTAGTAAATCCCAAATCATTTCCCCATATTGAGAAATGGTTTCTTTACATTCCATGCTCAATACTCCTTCTGCTCCAATGGCATGGTTGACTTGTGTCACAACAGCCTGTTATAATCACTTTCAAGAATTTGTTCAAGATAACTAGATAGTCGAAAGGTCTACAACTTCAAAAGAAAGTAAATCATACAGTTGGACCAGCAAGCAATGATGTTCCAGAATCCACTATAGCAGCACAACCGCCTTCACAGAAGCCTGTAAGGGAAAAGTATTAAGACAAAAAGAAATTATTCTTAGCTTAGGCTCGTAATCAACAGCAACGCTCACCTGTTGATCGGTTCCCAATAGAGAAATCTCCCATTTTAAACTGAAACAAAAAAAGGAAAAGAACAGATGGGGGGACAGTGAAAAAAGGCAAAAAGGAATGGAAACCATAGTGGAAAAAACAATTTAAGTACCTGCCAGTAACCTTTCTTAGTCAAAGGAACATAAGTATGTTTATCCTTGAAGTGTTTTGGATCAACACCACCAAAAACAAGTTCACCTCCCTCTTTTGCATTTATGTCGCGATTAAGCCAGAAAGAGAACACAGGCTCCTTCACGAGATCTTGCTTCACCATATTGTACCTGCACACATATCATGAATCAAAAAGACAAGATTCCAAAAACTGAGAAGAAAGGAACACAAGATAGAATTGCTTAAAAAACTGAACTGAACAAATGAATTGCAGGCCTTATTACCAGACAGGTGTAGTGTTTCCAACAGCAATTTCCTTGAAACCAAGCCCAAGTATTCCATCAAACTTTGCAACTATAAATGTAATACTTGGCTCCCGTGTCGCCTCAATAAAGACCTGAAGAAATTGATGTAAAAAATTCTCATCCATTGTGTTTCCAGAAGAGCAGAAAGGACCATAATATGAGGCAGTGATGACTTATTGCCATGCAAGATTTCACCTGATCCGTGACTACAAGATCGCCAACTTGAACATTATCTTGACTGAGAAATCCTGAAATTGATCCAGATCCATAGTGGATTGAACAAGATTCTCCTGGATCAGAATAAACATCAAATATAATCAGAAACCATCAATAAATAACTACTAGTCTATAACTACTTGTCTATCGATTAATGTGAAAGAAATATAACATTAAACTATGATATGAACATCACCTTTTTTTGTGTATGTTCTAGACTTGCTTGCCTTGTATTTGGAATGGATCCAGCATGCAATCTGGGAATAATTCAAGTTTAAGGAAAAAATCTGTATAAACCGGTAATTCAACAAAGGAACAGATAAATAAAAGAATTTAAGTTATATACACTAAAAGTGTAAGGATTTTTGTTACTATCAGTATAGTTTAACTTGTGATAGCAATAATTAAGTACCAAGTTACCAATTAATGTTTTCTTATGGACATTTACATGTAATTACCTTATAAGTGACCTAATTATATAACTAACCTTTGCGCCGTTAGCACGTAAACTTAAACATTAACTAAAAAGAAGCACAACTTACAGAGAAATAACATCTTGATGATGGAACCCAGAGATTAGAACTCCCTGTATCAAATATGACAGTGAAATTTTGAGGGGGTGAACCAATACTAATCTCTCCATAATATTGAGCATCCAAGTAGTTCTTTAAGGAGACTATATCTGAATTTGTGTCAGATTTCTTCTTCTTCTTCTTCTTCTCTATGTCCTTCATCACATGCTTTCCATATCTGTCTTCAAGTCTTGCTACATTGGCTGCATTTAAGCTACTGATATCTAATTGTCGCTTCTTCAGACTAATTCTTAGCAAACTATCAGAGGAAGCAGGAAATACAAAGCAGGCAATGGCCAATAAAAGGAGAGAAGCCCAAAGATGCTTCCTTTCCATGTTCAAACAGTGCCTGTACAACAGCAACAACCAAGTTTTATCAGAATGTCAAGCAGCAAATATGAATGGGGATTATATGCTTTCTACATGGTGATGATTGTCTTAACATGATATGAATTATCAAGCCAAATGGAGAATCAAAAGCTGTTCGTCAACAAACGTATAATTCAAGAAGAAACATGCAGAGTGTCAGACCTTAAAGAGTGGTTAGAGCAACTAGAAAAGAGCAGAAGCTTTGAGATAGGAGATATTTCATGGAGAAGGTATTGCTCTTTGTCCACGACCAACTAAATAGCCGAGACCCGAGAGAAAAGAACAACATGATTGGTACGTACGCTTTTGGCATGCAAAGTTTGGAAAAAACTTATGTATAGTTAAATTGAGGTAATAATACAAAGTATATTTAGTTATGATTAAGTGGTAAGTGTTATGTATATTTAAGCTAAGACAGGTCATATAGTCATTGATTTGGTGAAATACCAGGGATATATAATTTTTTTTTTTCCTCAAATGTGTGTGGTTGGTTTTGAGGATTTGTGCGACAACATATGAATTGGCCCAAAAAGATTTGAATTACAGATCCCAAATCCGCTTCATTTTATGTACCGACATATTTGACTAGGCATAATATTTAAGCGAAAAAGAAAAAAAAATTGGCCCATGTCAAAAATACTAGGAGAACTTGTAATCTTAAAGATGTTATAATAATTTTAGGAAATATTTCTATGAAAAGAAAATACTTCATCCGCTTCATTTTATGTACCGACATATTTGACTGGGCATAATATTTAAGAGAAAAAGAAAAAAAATTGGCCCTTGTCAAAAATACAAGGAGAACTTGTAATCTTAAAGATGTTATAATAATTTTATGGCTATAAGAGTGTGTCAGAGAGGTGGATTTGGGATTTGAGATTCAAGCTTTGTGTTCAGATTCAGAATTACAGATCATTAAAGGTAAAATGAGAAATTTAAATATAAAGAGGTCTCAAATATAGAAAAATAATATTCTTTTCGAAACAAACTAGAAATAAAAGAGTACATACTATTATTATGGAATATAAAAAGGGTACCTTACTCTTTAATACTCCCTCCATCACATTTATGTAGGAACGTTGACTTTTGAAAATTATGATTTAAATTAAGCTATAAATATTTGTGTAAATATAAATCATCTCATTAAGACTAAATAGAAAATTTTAAGTCAAATTCTTTCTTGTATGATATATTTATCGGAACAAGCTAAAAAGAAAAATATAACACATAAACTGGTATAGAGAAAATATAATCTTTAGAAAAAAGGTGGATAATTGTTGTTTTTCAGAATTTTGTCCTGTGTCTTAAAAAAGTCATTTTCTCCGGAAGGTCTCTCAAAATTTGTTTGTAAAGGTCAAAAACTTGTTATACAAATTAAGCGAAAAAGAATAATAGAACATACAATTGAGTCATATAAATGTTTTTAAAAAAACATAAGACTCTCAAAAACCATCTCAGACCCGCCCCCCTTTTATTTACTTTCTTCCAATTAGTGCTTTTTCCCTCAATTCATGTTATTACGTATTCTTGCAATCCTCTCCTAATAAAGACACCTCAATGTTTCGATTCATTTATATTCAGGAAATACGCCTTCAACTTCATAATTATGTAATGGTTCCAATCTTTCAGCTATTATTATGATTTTTATTCTCTTCTTCCTTTGGAATTTAATGCTGTCCAAACAAGTTAATTTAACTCTAGGGAGCACTAGTTAGAAATTGAAGAACTAATTAACCGTATTTAGGTGATAAAATTTTTTATATATGTAGACAACATGTTATCCATATATTCATTTGGTGCAAAGATTGAATACAAATATGTTTGTTTCTTTTTCATAAAAAAGTTTGATATGAAATGATACAGGGAGAGTGCATACTGCAGTATTTGCATAGAAGACCGTGGCACGATTTTTGGCTTGTACTTGAGATAGTACGTACGGGCAATGCATGGCGGTAATAACATCTAGATTTGTCTTGAGGAAATGACTTCGAAATTTCCTTCGAAGATGTAGACAAAACGATTGATCACTACCCAGAGGCGAATCCACGATTTAAATCCTATGGGTTCAAAATATTGAACTCATTATATTTTTAAAGTTATGGGTTCATGATATCTACTATTTTTAGAATTTTAATGAAATTTTTACATACAAATTTTACTCCGCGTCAAAAGTTATAGGTTCAGTTGAACCTGTAGGTTGTACACTGCATCCGCCTCTGACTAAACATGGTTACATTATCCCTCAGCCAACAGCGGCGGAGCTAGGGGCCGCGAGGGTGAACCCTTTTTCTTTGAAAATTACAAACCATATATACCAAGTTAAAATTATTTTTATGTATAAATAGTGGAGGTTGAATTCTTTTGCCTTCTTTAATTTGTAGGATTACAACTTTAAATTTTAAATCGACTTAATTGGTGCTTATGCTTTCTTGAGCCGATGGTCTATTGGAAACATCATTTCTATCCTCACAAGGTAGGGGTAAAGTCTGCATATACATTACCCTCCCCAGATCCCATAGTGTGAGATAATACTGGGTATGTTGTTGTTGTTGTACTGAAAATCTCGCTTTGTCACTATTTACAAGATGTAGTAAATTACTATCACCCACTGTAATTCTTTTTTTTTCCCCTTTCATTTCAAGTATTATCAAAATCTGTCATGTTCAATAATTTGGCATCCCAGTAACATATAAGATGTTAGCCTTTAAGGGAAATGACGTAGAAATTTCCTCCGAAGATTTGTTGACAAAAGATTGATCGCCGAACATGATTGCAAATGAAGGTTCATGCGTTTCCCCCAAAAATGTCGTGAATTGCAAATTACTCCCCTACAATTTTCTTTCTTTTTCTACCCTTTACAACCCTTAACTGTTTTCTCTTTTTCTTCTTTATATTTAATTTGACATTCATTTTCTCTATAGTATATTGTGAATTTATTATAACCCTTGCCTATAAATATTTCAAAAGGTTACAAGAACACTAAAAATCTATGTAAAAATGCTAATCACTTTGGTATCATGTATATTTCTAAAATAAGTTTTCATTTCTACACATGTTTAATAAAAGATTTATTGAGTTACTTTTGATTCTATGTTGAAATTAATCTGTTCATACAATAAACTATGTCCATTTACTACAAATTATAAATGAGGAAGACTTCTACAATACGTAAACATATCACTTCATGTTATAATGTCATAAAAAAAATATCTTAGTAGGAATTAATATCTACTATATTTGCTGTTTTTGACGTGCCAAATCGTTTTCGAGAACACAAACAGAAAGATGACCCCCAAGTCCCAACTGAGGATGTTGCCTTCTTTTGGTTTGTGCATATCGAAACGTCATCGTAACCAACAGGTGCAGTGGCTCTCAGTTGATATCATACTCGGATTTTAGGGTAATCAGTTTGGCGCCTACCGTGGGGCTAGAGATAATAGTGATTATTTCAGTACATGATTCTGATAACACACGTTATTTTCACACTTGTTCTTCTCAAGAATTTTTGTTCTCAGGTTAAAATATGTCAAACTCACAAAACGTACCCGTACGTGCCGATGATGGTCATGGATTTCACGGGGAAAATAACAATGCAATTGCTCCGGGAGCCGGTGTACCACCGATTAACCCTGGGGAAGTGCCGATTGTAGAACCAGTCGACGTTATTTCACACATTGCTTTGAATGCGGACTTAGGCGCAGACCCCGGAGGAAGTGTACGTAGGGAAGTCTGATCTGGTGGCCAAGGAACACAGGGTATAGCAGATGGTGGAGTTAGCCTACAAGTAATATTCGGAACGCTATAAGCTCAACAGGTTGCTATAGCTCATCTTCAAAGTCACCATAAAACTCCAAGTGTGGTCGAACCGGAAATCACTCGCCGTACTGAGCCGGTGCCAGAGAGATCGAACGGTAATGGCTCGGGGACTGATCCCACGATTATAAGGATGCTCGAGGAACTCACCAAAAGAATCGAGTCGGGGGATAAAAAGATTGAGGATAATGATAAAAAAGTGGAGACGTATAACTCCCATGTTGATCAAATACCAGGGGCACCCCCGGTCTAAAAAGGTTTGGATGCCAAAAAGTTCGTACAAAAGCCATTCCCTCCGAGTGCAGCTCCGAAGCCCATTCCTAAGAAGTTCCGTATGCCAGATATACCTAAGTACAACGGGACAAGCGATCCTAATGAACACATCACCTCGTACACATGCGGGATTAAAAGAAACGACTTAAATGATAACGAGATCGAGTCGGTTTTGTTGAAAAATTTTGGGGAAACTTTGTCAAAAGGAGCGATGATCTGGTATCACAACTTGCCACCGAATTCTATTGATTCGTTTGCTATGTTAGCAGACGCCTTCGTGAAGGCACATGCCGGGGGCATAAAGGTTGCAACAAGGAAATCGGACGTTTTTAAGATAAGACAGAGGGGTGATGAAATGCTAAGGGAGTTCGTATCCAGATTTCAAATGGAGCAAATGGAATTACCACCAGTCTCAGATGATTGGGCCGTGCAAGCTTTTATACAGGGGTTGAACGAGTGGAGTTCGATCGCGTCACGACAGTTGAAGCAAAATCTGATCGAGTATCCATCTGTAACATGGGCAGATGTACATAATCGTTACCAATCGAAGATTAGGGTCGAGGACGACCAACTGGGAGCCCCCTCGGGTTCAGTTCATCCAAATAGAATGGCAATTAAGGCCTCGAGGGAACCAAGATCAAATAGGGAACAGTATCAGCCATATGTCGCAGATCGAAGAAACAACGGTCCGGGACGCAATCCTTCTCGGAATGATCGAAGAAATGATCGAGGGCAAAATTCTCGGGGACTTATGAATAAGAATGGTTTTGATAAACATACCGATCCCATAGAAGCACCTCGATTATCGGAGTATAATTTCAGTGTCAATGCATCGGGGATCGTATCGGCCATCGAAAGGATCAAAGACACCAGGTGGCCCAAACCTATAAAAACCGATCCTTCTCAAAGAAATCCAAACTTGATGTGTAAATATCATGGCACGCATGTCCATAGGACAGAAGACTGCAGACAGCTAAGGGAGGAGGTAGCTCGATTGTTCAACGAGGGTCATCTTTGAGAGTTTCTCAGTGATCGAGCTAAGAATCACTTCAGAGAAAGAGACGCCAACAGAAAGAATGAGCAGGAAAAGCCGCAGCATGTAATTCATATGATCGTTGGCGGGGTCGATATTCCACAAGGGACTATATTCAAACGTACCAAGGTGTCGATTACCAGAGAAAAACAGACTCGAAGTTATGTGCCCGAGGGC